AAAGTGCCTTTGAGGTCCCTACTAAAAAATTCATAACTTTTGAACCACTTGAGCTAGAAAGTTGATCTTGGTGTTTTTGTAATCTATTCTCCAGGCTCTATACAGCTGTAGTATTTTTATATTTTTAAAAATGTTTTGAAATTTTAATCAAAGTGCCTACTGCTAATAATATGCTATAATTGCTATGGCTGTGGTTATAGTTATAGGCTTCTATTAGTTCTATAGTGTAGATGTACTTCTTCTACAGTAGTGTCTTGCAAAGACTCACACTAACAGTCATGGTTGTAAGACTCAGTATGACTCATAGACAATGCAGCATTTCTGACTGAAACTTTATGAAGACTTTGTTTCAGATAGACAGATAGAAATGCTTCATTAGTAATATTATTATTTAAAATGCAACAATTTTAGTTTAATTAAAAAATGATAGTAGGCTGGGAGCCAAAGCTTAAATGTCAATAGCACTGTCAATATCAGCATTTATATGCATGATAACATTTAAAAAAAAAAATTTATGACTGTGACACTTTCTTAAAATTAAAACCCCCTCCACCCTCTCTGGAGCGTGACATACTTTTTGGATGTCCCATATGAATATGCATATAAAAAAATTTTTTGATGCTTTATTTTTCAGTTTACACTCAGCATGCTATGTTGAAAGGAGACAAGATTATTTTGGTCCATGTTTCAGAGTACACTTCTCTAGTACAAGCACGTGAGTTGCCTTCTTGATGAAAGATTGTGTTTCTAACCATGTAAACAATATCTTTATTACAGAGCTTTCCAAACTGTATGTTGTGACGCATTGTTGTGTTGTCTAAAGGGGATAGGTGTTTTTGCATGAAAGATCTTGGAATGCACTGAATTTATGTGAAATAGGCCATAGCAAAAGCAATATTAATTTGCATAGCGTCAGGCTGCTCTTAAGAGGATAACCACCCCATTATGTAGGATATGCATGTTATCAATATTCTCATAATTTAATATTTAAAACTATAGAGGAGAGTTGTTCTTCAGATATGTTGTGTCACCATATGTTTTGTTATTACAATTTAGGTGTGTCCCTGTAATATTTTAGTAGTGGGGCTTAGTTTAACCTTTTGTTGGTTATAGCACAAATTACTGCATCGTGAAATGAGGAAAATGTGTTTACAACATGAAAGATTTGGAGAGCTCAGTCTTTTTAGATTAATTAGGTTATTATGAGAATGAAATTTCATCCACTTTTCTTCATTTTATGTGATTTTAAATGCTAATTTAGTTTTTGACTGCCCTGTG